CGATTGTTAAGTAGCTGCTATGTCACCCAAGAACTAAACAATTTGAGGTAGCTTTGCTAAGATGCGATCATACTGATGCACGTGTACGCTTAGCTGCATTAAAACTCGTAGCCGTTATATGTTTATTTTTATTTTATTTGCATTTTATTTTTAGAAAATGCCATTTTGAAAACGAATGTTTTACTGCTTCTAAAAATCATGCATGATCAACATAATTTGACTTCTTTGAAAAAGGAATTACAGAAAAAAGAAAAACTTTAATGAGACTTACAATTAAAGCTGCACAGAAATTGTTTGAAGACGACAAGGTGAATGCTTTGGAGAGGTCCAGTCAAAGCCCGGACCTCAAACACAGAGAGAATTTGCCGCAGGACCTGAAAAGAACTGTTCTAAGCTGATCCCCATAAAACCTCGGCCACAGTTCTCTCCCAAAAGAGACTTTTAATCTCAATATGTTGAAAAGATAGAAAACTTTCTCATCATTCCATCTAGTAGGTATGATGAACAGGAGTAAGTAAAACAGGCAGTGTTTGGCTAGTACTTTTAGGTTAAATGTCATTGTCATGGAGTCAAATCAAGCTTTTGGACAACTTGGTCCAACTGGATTTTTGTTTTAAAGCGCCTGAAAAATCTATGCAGCTCAAACATTTGGGCTTTTGTCCAGAGTCCCAAGATGTGAGATTTGGAAAACAAGATTTGTGGATGAGGGCTGTTAAGTGACAGCTAAGGCTTGGCTGGGTGCCTCATAAACCTCCTGGTTTTGCATCTAATTATCTCTGAGAATTATGAGCACTACGTGAGGAAAAGCTTAATTACACAACTTTGATGCTGCAACACAAACACAAACGTAACACTGGAAGTCATTCTTGTCATTTTGTGTTTTAGATCGAGCGAGTCGTCCTTAACGTCAAATATTAGCTGTCAAAGCCCAAAGCTACATATCTTAACATTTAACAAACTGGGAGGAGGTTTTCGTTTTTGCTTGTGGTTTTGCCTGATTGGCATTTGAAACACTGAGAACTAATGGAAAATCTGCAGTGTTCACATAGCAATGCCTCCATTTTACCTAGACTGTACATAAGATTTTTAATCACTACATTTTCAGACACTTTTTGACTTCAAGATTAAATATTTGGGGAAAAAAAAGTTTTCTCAGAAACATTTTAATCTATTTTGAATAATTAATATTGTCCCGTTTGATGACTGGGATCAACTGGAATATATGTATGATAGAATTATTTTTTTTCGTAAACTGCCTCTGAGGCAACACTTTTGCGACTTGGCGCTATACAAATAAACTGAACTGAATTAAATTGTTCAAGCGCTCAGACTGTTTTAGTCTCCTTCAAAACAACCCAAAAAATAATAATAATCATCATTTCGCAAAACTACAGTATGTTGCTATTTCGCGTCGAACAGAAAAGGGTCTGCAAGCCTCAGGGCAGAGCTCACTTGGTAGAGACAAGTTACAATTTAATCTGCAGCATGTGGGAGACGGTCTGCAGTTTTTAAGTTTATGTCGGTTTGCAAATGACTTGTGAATCGGTTTCTCGTGATCTACCCTGGCGGATTCAAATGCAGCGGGACAGATTTATGAACCGCTGCTCACACCTGCTCATAAGAGTTGTCCCAAACAATCTTATCTCACGTATTCACCTCACTGCGTGTCCTTACAGCATGTCCCACAGCCTTTTAGGGAGCCGTAGGTGAGATTGTGCTAACATTGTGTACAAGGTTTAATCATGAAGATGAGCAAAGCCAGCTTCCATTTGTTAGGTGATCTGGAATTGCGCCGCTCGTCATGGCAGTATGTTGCAGCAGTTGCCATGTTGCCCGCTTTGGTGGAGACATTGCTTGTCGCTGTATGAAAAGAAACGTGGAAGTAAAGCAAAGGCTGTAATGGCAGAAAGTAAAAATTGACTTCTATCATGAGTGGAAAGAAGTGACAAAAATATCCCGTAGAGTAGCTTTACATGTTGAACAGCAAAGCATAAACACTACTTCATGTGTTTAATATAAGCTATAATATATCATCAATTATTAGCTGAGATTGTGGACTTATGAAGCTACACAGCAGCTACACTATCTGCAGCATGATGAATAGGCAACTTTACCCTCTTTTAATTAAGCTAGCCAAAGAAAATCAGACCCTCAATATAAAACAAGAGCAGAGCTGCACCATTTTCATCCATTAAGCACAAATAACCTGACAAAGAGGGAGATGCTCCTGCCAAACAACACATAGAGCAGCTTTGTTCTTCGCCAGCAATGAAGGCGAGGTCCAATTATTTAATCTGCTAAATTTTCTAAAGAATGAAAGGAGCTGATTGGGGAAAAGAAACGGTTCTTCCCTATTTAAGGCTAACAGTACTAAGCTTTATTCTGTTAGCTCTGAGAACGTAGCAAACGATCAAAGCGGGTACAGTGAACATAACAGATATATATGCAAAACGTTGTTTATTTTGATCAGAGACTGTTGAAACTGCAGGTAACCGAGGAGGATTGATGTCATTTCATCGTATAAAATGGATGTGAGTGCATGTGCCGTATTGAGAAAGGGCACACAAAAGTTATGCTAACAAACAACACCTCGACTGTCAGGTTTGCTGACTCACTGATCCACAGTTCATGTGCATGAACTGTACTTGCTGTGTTTCATTCTCACTGAGGCTTCCAGACGTTGTCCGGCATGTGAAGGTCCGTTGTTTCTGAAACCTTACAGGGCCGCTGGCATCACAGACCGTCATTATCTCCTCCTCTGCTCACCAGAGGCGTGCGATACTGCAGATATTGATTGCTTGCAAGTTTTATGGGATGTATTTGTTGCTGCCTCTTAGCGAGGACTCCCTTGAAAAGAAATGGGTGTTTATGCTGGTAAAATAAACGTTAAATAACAAAATAAAATTTGTCTGACACCAGCTGTAAAGTGGGCCAGTATCGTCGATACCAATACCAATACCAATACTTTTTATTATTGAAGTTTGATCAGAATTCTAACCTTCAGGTGGTTTTCCCTTTGAATTGTTTAATTAAAACCCAGGACAGAATTTGAACAAAATTGCTAGATGTCTTAAAAAAAAAAAATACTTTGATTACATATCAGCGAGATAAACAATAGAAAATCATAATCAGTTAGTGTGTTTTGCATTTTTTCCGTAATAAACCAAATCAAAACATCTTGTAGAAATATTAGAGAAACTGCAATACAATTATAAAATATATTTCCAAAGGGAATCTGAAACTTAAGCATCAATTTCACCACACTAATATTGATTTGATTCTGGTACCGACTCGGGATCGATATTATCGACATTTTGTATCGACTCACCCACATCTACTGTTGTCTATGCTTTCAAAACCGGGCCTGTGCCAGACAGCCGCTCTTGAAACTGATACAACTCCCGCCTGCGACATTTTTCCATCAGTATTAACTCGCTGAGCGATCGAGCAATCACATTCGGTTTCCGTTTTAAGAAAGGATTAAGTGCGCCTCTTTGAAAGAACGAGACAGAAAGGCAATGTTGAACAAAATGGTACAAGCAGTGATAAGCACTGTAATGGGTTGGAGGAAATCTGAAAGAGCATGCCAAAATATTCTAAGTCTACTTAGCAAAGAGCACATGCTTGGATTCTATTGCTTTAATCCATTTTTTTTTTTTTTTTCTGTGTACTGCTTTGGCTCGCCGAGGCTTTTCCTCCTCTGGTTCTGAGAGGGCCGTTGAGCTCTTTCTGTCGTCTACGAGATCTGGGGCAGCACACGTAAAATGTCACATGAATCTATAATGAGGCTCTTCTGACTGTTCTGGGGTCACGCTCATCTCTTTCATACATGTTGAATGAAATCTGCTGCGAGTGCTCTGTGAGCATTGTACTGAGTATAATTCCTCGGCTCCTGGCTATCTGAGATAAGAAGGTACATTACCGAATATATAAAACACTTGTTTGTGTCCCTTCAGTCGTACATAATTCACCGGCGGAAACACCGACCCGGATCGTCGGCCTTCTGCAGCTGCGTGCCAGGCAGCAGACGTGCTGCGCTTTCTGTCTGTGTGATTTTAAACGGAAAAACAAAAACAAAAAGAAAGAAAGAAACGCGCTTGACTTGACTCACACAAAAGGTACTGAAAGCCACACAGACAACGGGGCAGGATTTAAGAACAGAGGAGGATCAGAAAATAACTGAATTGGCAAAATATATTTACATTCTGATCTAGAACTGACCAGATTAGTTTTTTTTTTTCTTCATTCACTTTCCTCTGCATTCGTGTGAAGCTGGTCAGTCAGTTAAGCGCTTTGGAGACAGTATGTTATTTCCCCCCCCCCCCCGTTGAACGCTTGATGTCTGCTTCTGTTGCAAAATTGGGTCAGCTCTTCACTCATTTTGCTCTAAACACATAGTGTGTAGAGAGGGGCGGGGTCTCATTCATGCCTTCAAGAGACGGGAATGCGCCTGAGAAATGAACCGGTGACCAGAATGAGACGAAACGAAACCGTTCTCTAAGTGTCTCAAATTGCCCGTGGCTTCAAGTTTGCATGTGTGTGCGCGTGTGTAAGTAGTTGTTTGTCATGTGGGTCTCTGTGTTGTCCTATCAATCAATCAATCAATCAAATTTTATTTGTATAGCACATTTCAGCAGCAAGGCATTTCAAAGTGCTTTACTTCATAAACACAAAAACACAAAGTCATGCAACATAGAATAAACAATATATTGTTACATATTACGTTTTAAAAACATTTCTAAACAGGTCTGTTTTTAGTTGAGATTTAAAGGAAGTCAGGGTTTCTGCTGTTTTACAGTTTCCTGGAAGTTTGTTCCAAATTTTTGGTGCATAGATGCTGAAAGCTGCTTCTCCTCTCTTGGTTCTGGTTCTGGGGATGCAGAGCAGAACCAGAACCAGAAGACAGAAGACAGTGACATTTAATCACACACCAGAAAAAAATACGTAAAGGACAGTTTTTATACGGAGACGTGTCGTTTTCAGGCATAACTCCCTCTTACCTTTGTGTCTGCTGCTCCTGTGCTGAGACACTTTCTGTTCCGGACTCTCTGGCAGCAGACTGTGGAACCAGCGGCGGTGCAAGTGTTGGATCCCCAGGCCGCGGGAGCCGGGCCAGCTTCGCGAGGCCTTGACTCCCCCGCCGGACACGGCCTGAACGGCGGCCCATCTGGAGCGCGCCCTCATGCCCACGCCGGCCGTCCCGAGGGCGGCGGGAGGCGCGACGAGAGACAGCAGGGGCGGAAGGCTGGGGGCGTTAGGCTGAGCCGCCCGGATGGTGGAGCGCTGCAGGAGGAGGATGCTGCCTGCCATCAGGTAGGCGATGCCCAGGCAGAGCAGCAGCATCTGCGCTCTCTTCAAGAGGCAGTGCAGCTTGCCGAGGGGCACCGCCATACCGGCTCAGTTCACTGCCTCCCACTTCAGTTAAAGGCCATTGAATGGTTGACCGAGAAGATCTGGAGGAGGACTCCAAAATTTTGCAGAGCGTTGGCGCTTGTGTGTCTATGTTGGTCCATGTTGTTGCCAACAGAGGCAGCAGCAGTGGGAGAATGGATGTGTTGAAATAACAAAAAGGTGTGATTTATGAATCCAGAAAGATCCTGAAAATGATGGGGAGAAAGACACAAATTAGGCTGACAGACTGAAAATGGGGAAAACACAAGTGAAGGATGACATTCTGAACATTTCAGGTGATGCGACTATCTCTTCAGTGAGGCACGTAAGAGCAGGAAGTCAATGTTATGATAGAAGCACAAAGCTTAGCAAGTAGAGGGATTTGCAGCAGCCAAACTGCGATGATTCGACTGCTGGGTTTCCAAAGCTGCAGCTCTTTCTGGGGTTTCTTGTCTGCACTGGTCAGCATCACGGCAGATTCACATGAACATGAAATACTCCTAAAATATATTTTTTAATATAAACATTTATGGCATGTTTGAGACTATAGAATTGGTTTAAAATGGTAGGGCTCCACTTCGGTCTCGGAGCACATCGACATAAACAAGCAAGCGACTCTTTCCAAAAGGTCGCGCGACATCCTAAATGGAGTCGATGCAGCTGGACTGAGGGCAGGAACGGTCATCTACTGTCATCTACTGTCATCTATGCAGGTAACGGTAGTTCTAACAGAACCTCGGCTCAGTTTCAGCGAAGCGTCCCTTCAAAGGATGCTACAAATATTGGTACCCGACACCACAGTGCACCGTCAGGGGTCACAGAGCTACGCCTGACCCCGGTATATCAGTGTTGTCGACACATTTGCCAACATCCAGATGATTTAGATTTCTCCATTTGTTCTTGAAACAGAAAAGAAGAAGAAGAAAATGAAATCAATCTGTGCTGCATGACTATTCGGCTTCAAATATGCGTTTCTGCAGTGAGAGATGTCACTTTCCTACCCTGGCTGCAAGAATATATGCGTGATGTTCCCCGCAACAACAAAAATAAAAAATAAAAAAAACACAACATCAGGACCCCTGCAGTGATGAAAGCTGCGGGCATTACGGACGCTTATGAGAGGGGGGGGGATTATCATAGCAGCGCGCAGATCAACTCTCATCCTGACAGCGATAAATATAAATGCGATGAGCGACACACACACACACACACAAAGAAAAAAAAACCCACACACACATGGAGACGCGGCGCCGAGGCTGGATCAGAACCGGTGCATCCTAACGCTGTGAGGAGGGGAGCGGTGAGGTGACGCCCCCCCGCTGGTTGGGCTGGTGGCCGTCACACGTCGTCATGTCCTTCACATCCACTTTTCCTAAACCGGGGTCTCCCAACTCCCAGAGAGGGGGGAGGAGGAGGAGGAGGCGGCACAGGGAGGTGCGGCGGTGCGCCCCAGAATAACAGCCCCTATCAGAAGCAACAGTTTGCACGACGATCGAGTCCGGATGTCCAAGTTGTGCTCAACTCTTGTTTGTATTCGCTGATAAAAACGGGCCCAACTCATGCAGGAAAAAATAAATAAATGAACAAATAAATTTAAAAAAATGAGAGAGAGAATTAGATTAAGGTTTGATGGCACATGGCGCAGGAGGACAGACGGATCAGTCGAGGGAGTGAGAGCACGCATCAGTCGTTGAAGAAGCCAAGGTCTTCCATCTTAAGCCTCTCTCTCTCTCTCTCTCTCTCTCTCTCTCTTTCTCCCTCCACCATTAAGGCTCTGCTTACCTTCCGATCGCTCCACCGCTTTGTTGTCCGGCATGTGAAGGTCCGCCGGGCTGTTTAGTATTTCCCACAGCTGCTGTTATGTAAGGTCTCCATCTCTCTCTCTCTCTCTCTCTCTCTCTCTCTCTCTCTCTCTCTCTCTCTCTCACGCACATAAACACACAGGGACTCTGAGAGCGGACGAGCCAGCGCTGCTCTCTGTCACCCTGAAAAGGCTGCCGCGGCAGGCAGAATGCGAGGGGGAGAGAGAGAGAGAAAGAGAGAGAGAGAGAGAGAGAGAGAGTGTGTGTGTGTGTGTGTGTGTGTGTGTGTGTGTGTGTGTGTGTGTGTGTGTGTGTGTGTGTGTGTGTGTGTGTTTGCCGTGGAGGAGGAGGAACAGGAGGGGTGGGTGAGGGAGGGAGGTTGGAGCTCAGGCTCATTTACATTGGTGATGTAAACGCGTCGCAGCTCCTCCACCGTGCAGACAGGAGAACCGAGTCCTGCAGCCTGCAACCTGCTGAGCCTCCTTATTCCTGCAAATAAAGTTTTTTTGTTGTTGTTGTTGTTTGTTTGTTTTGTTGGTCGCCTGATTTATGGTCTATGATCACATATGGTCGTCTTCACTAAATTGCGCTTCATACATTTATTATTATTATTATTATTATTATTATTATTATTATTATTATTATTACTATGCGTGACGTCCGGGTTGCGTTGGAAGCGCGTTTCAGCACCAAGAACAGCGCCAACATGACAGGACTCCTTACCGGGACACGCACAGGCGTCTGCGCCACGCTGATGAAGAACAGAGATGTTCCACCGAGTCACCGGGAACCTGCTTTCATTTGGTGCACTGCACCTTTAAGGATCATTGGCGCCGCTGGAACTTTTCGCATTTGTGTCGCATGTGCAGAGGAGCAAACACGTGGCTATGATGAGTTGGAAAAATGTGCGCGACGCAGGTTTTTCAGCTTTTGACTGGTCCATCAAGCCCGAGTCAAATGATGGTTGAGCTGCGGGTGCAGCTTCTATGAGAGAGCACACTCAACAGCACATAATGCAAAGTGGAGGGCAGTGGAAGAAGAGTGGGGTCAGGTAGCCATCTCTGTAGCCTGTAGAGATAACTGCAGAGATACTGTAGCACATAGCTACAGAGATAGCCTATGGCTGCAGAGGTAGCTCAGAAAGAGGCATGAGAGAAGAGAGGCTGACTGCAAATAGATGGGTTAGGGTTAGGGTTGTTTGCCCCGTTGGTCAACGCTGTGGAGCTGCAACCTTTTCTAACGCGACCTCTTTGCACGAACAGCTGCAAGAGGAGCTTATCTGCCAGAGTTCATTGTAATAGGATGAAGCAAAAAATCCCCAACAGTTTGCCTAGTTCTTTTTTTTTTCTTCTTCTTCCCCCTATTATATTTTCCTCATGCGTCTCTCCTCTCTACCCCATGCAGGCTTCTCCAGAGGACAGGGCCATCTGTCCCCTGGGTGGGAATCAATTTAACCCCATTCAGCCCTTGAGATCGGCCGGCGCTCAGACCCTTTTTGCTCAGACAGGAGGCCTGAACTGTCAGTCTGCAGTCTAGACAATAGAGCTCCAGCCTTCTCTGTTTCTCTCTCTGTTTCTCTCTCTCTCAGCCTTTCCGTGCCAGCTCACAGACATTGATCACCTCTGACAAGACAGAAACACTTGCTGTTGCCTGTCTGCAGCGCAGCCACCTCACCGACTCCTCCGCCCTGTCTTCCTTCTCCTCTGCTCTGCCTCCAGAAACGGTGAGTTGTCCTTTGAAGAGGAAGCTCAGTGGACTTGGAGAGCCACGCTGTGTTCATTTCAAGCCGAGCGTGTGCAGATTTTTGCAAAACAACAGAAATCTATTTGTTGTTGTTGTTGTGTTGCGTCACGCTGCAACTTAAAGCTTCACAGGTCTTTTTCTTTAAATTTTTTTAGGCAATATACAAAAAACAAAGAGATGGACAAGTGTGAAGTGAAAGGAAGATTTTTTTTTTGTTTTGTTTTGTTTTTATAAGTAAAAACCCCCCAAAAGTGTGGAGTGCACACTCAGCCTCGTTATGGTTCACGCTGATTTTCAAACCTGAGAGATTCGCACACGTCAGCAAAAAACAAAACAAATCTTAGTCATAACAGTCAAACAGACTGAGTTCACTCATCAACATTCACACTGCAGACAGAAAATCTCAAATAACCTGAGTTGATGGCCGACTGGGGAACAAATGTCACGTTCATGTTTCCACCAGTTTTGCACATCTAAAGACGGACAGACGCCCGTCTTTGCTAAATACCTCCAAGTCCATCAGACAGAATAGCAGGCATCAGTTTGAACATCAGCTTTCAACATTCTCAATTTTGCTCAGCCTTGGACTTTGACTGGGCCATTCTGACGCATGAACAAGGCGAGATTTGTTTTGCCACAACCAGAACAGTCCACTGTCTTTGGAGTTAAATATGATAAACTTTTTTACTTTTACAGCAGATGAATATGAAGCTACTTTTTCGGTTTCATAAATGACACCAGCATCACAAAAGGTTTCATAATGATCAGAGTTTATGTGTCTTGGTTGGGCATTATGCAGCTGCTTGTTTCGCTTCTCCTTACTTTACCCAGGTGTACATTTAAAGAGCCATAATCCTCACTTAGACCGAGAAGTTATCGTTTCCTCCTTTTTTATGCTAACGTTTCGATTTGTCTCCATTTCTCCATCTTCTCTTAATGAGACATTATAGATCCATAACAGATTCCGCTTATTGCTCTAGTATTTCTCCATAACCTGCGGAAATATTATGTATGAGCTTTGCTCTGTTTTTCTTTTGATATTTTCTATTACTGTAGGATTTCCGTGCTAAAGCTCTGCAAAATGTGTGCAACCCACCCTGCTGCTGCTGACAGATAGTGTTTAGGGAGAAAACGCAATCCTCAGCTGAAAACTCAAGACACACACACACCACACACACACACACACACACACACACACACACACACACACACACGCATCTGAAATCAATTTGCTTTTGAAAAACGTACATTCTCTCCCTTTTTCCAAAGCTATAATAAACCTTAGACATAAGGTCAGTGCTTTGCAAATGCATTCACATCCTTTGAACCTTTTTTTTTTTTACTTTACAATCAAAAACTTCAATGTGTTTTATAGAGCCTTTATGTGACCAACACAAAGCAGTGCTCAGGCGTGAAGCGGAACCGAAATACGGAAATAAAAGGAAAAGAAAATTAAACATGAGTTTTTTTCACCAGTTTTTTTTCTTTTTTTACACAAAAAGGAAACAATTATGTGCAGGATGCTGTCCAGACGTTCAGTTTTATTATTTTTTTTACGCCTTTGAAAACAATGCACTTTTCCCCTTTGGCTTCAGAGCTATGCACGTCTGTGTGCATGAAACCCCAATGAAATACGTCAGGGTTTCTGTAACGTCATGTGAAAATGAATACAAGAGTGAACGCATTTTCAGCGATCAGAGGTGATGGAACACCAAAAAGAAGTCTCACCTCTATGAAAACAACTGCCTGTTAGTGAGCAACGTTTCCAGCGACGGCCTCATCTCAATCTGAGGCTCCCGTCACCGAAGACTCCCCATGACACACGTCCTCACCGAAACACGGTCCTGTACTCACTGGGATCTCTGCTGTCGTTGCCCCGGGCTGCAGTGCCACCGCTGCTTCTCTTTTCCTCGGCTCTGCTGTCACATGAGTGCACCGTTTGTTGGCGCTGGCGGCGTGAAACTCGCCTCCCCTGGACTCACTCTGCCTCTGCTGACAGATTCCTTTTCTTCCCGTTTCTTCTTTTGGAGAGAGTTCCCATTGAAACTCCTCCTCTGGCTTTGTGCTGACACACGGCTGAACTCGGAGTCTCTCCCGGCTCCGTTCCGAGCTGCAGCCGCTGTGGTGGTACGTCTCTCTCCCGGTCGGGCTCTGACCCACCTTTCCTGCGTGATCTTCCAGGCTCCGAGTGCAGCCTGAACTCTCATTTCTCACTTGCTTTGGAGCTCTTCATACGGTATTCATAGCCTCCGCTCTGTCGCCAGTCGTACAATGACCTCTGACCCCCTCCCGACAGACTGCACACCTGCACCATGTCTCCAGTGTGAAACGTGAAAATTCTGCCCAGCTGAGACATTTTCTGCCCTCTTTCCCGTCCTCCATCCCTGCACACTTTGACCTTCCTTAAGTGATACATGGAGGGAAAATTTAATTTTCCTCACGTTTCCAAACAAACTTATTGTGAGGCAATGGGGATATGTTGAGAGAAGAGGATTCTACGTGAGAGTCTCATGGCTATCATGACGCACTGACAGCTCAGCTTCCAGGCAGCAGAAAAGATGTGCCATGCTAACGTCAGTTAGCATGTTGCTGATTCACCTCGTTTGCTTTTGCCACTCCTCTCTCAGTCTCTGTGTGGCTGGAGAACAGCTCCAGCCATCATCAGACTGAATTACAAACAGATGGGCTCTGTTTAACTTCGATTGGTTTGGACTGGGTTTCAATGTCAAAGTAAAAGTGGTGGAAGCCATCTCTCCCGTCTTCCTTCCCCCTTTTCCACTTTACTTTCACGAGCCACTCGTATAAAACACGATAAAGTTTGCGGTTGTGTCGTGGAAAAAGGCTGTAAAATCCCATCAAAGACCCTTTTTTTCTTTTTTTTTTTTTTAATCAATCCCATATCGGACAGTTTCCACCAACGTCGACGTTCACCCCGATGAGGCCAATGGGGATGCGGCCGCCATTGGTGACATGTTACTGGGCGCTGCCGCGCCATCGGTTATCGCCGGCGCCGTTGTGCCTCGTGATCCGAAGGGAGATTGAAGATTCATCTCGTCTGATCCTAATTTTCTGTTCTCCGTTTTTAAATGATGAGCTCAGCAGGAGCATCCGGATACATGAAACACGGCGCCGGATGCAGTTTAAGCTGCCCGGCTCCCCCGCCGCTGGAAGCCGAATCAATTATTGACTTGCCAATGGATTCAGCGCACTCTACCCTGCAGAAGAGCTGCCACCGCCGAGGCGGATCGTGGCCTAAAGCGAGACGAGGTATGCGAAGAAGGAGCAAAAGAAGTCAAACTCGACGCGACTGCAGGAGTCAATGTTTTAACGCACAAATCATCACATCAAACTCTCCCACATAAGGAACTGATACAAAGCTTTCGCACAGAAAAGCTGCAGTATTTTTAGACACATTATAAGGAGTGTGCACATTAGGTATGCATCTGGGGCACTAATAGATACAGTGCTGCACGCAGGTAGGTAAAGTGAGTGCTTCAGCTCAAACAAGTAGCACCGAAGACAGCTGCTTCCTTTTTTTTCTT